CAATTGGCATGAGAGGAGACATGCCCATACGCGTTTCATAACGACCAGGCAGCAGTCAAATAATGCGTACTTACTAATCATTCGATGTATCAGAATGACTGCTCCACCGCAGATCGTTATGTGCATGTTCTGTGAAGGTGGTGTTTGGTTTTACACTGTTATGTTGCATACTTGTCACTATGCTAATGGGTTAGGGGGACTCCTATTACGAGTGCAATTGAGTGAGCGAACGAGGATTGCACTATCGGGAAAAAGGTACAACTTAGCGAAGGATTGCTATTAACAATGCACTATTTTCCTAAATAAGACAAGTGCATGCAGTTTCCTACTCTATCTAGTCTAGTGCACGGGCTTGTCTATGAAGTACACCTCCTCCACATCCTCATCGTCCGACAGGAATGGATTGTCCTCCACTTCCTCCTCCCCCACAATCTCTTGATCGTCGTCAAAGGCCTGTTCCACTTCATCGTCCTCCTCCTCCTCCTCCTCATCCTCATTCTCCCAGGCATTTCGAGCAGCCACATCTTCACCCTCCTTCTGCTTCCCTTTCCTCTCCCTCTCTGCTACAGCCAGCTTCAAGCTCTTCGCAAGGCGCCTAGTACGCAGGGACCTCCACACCTCCAGTGCCTCCGGCCAGTCGATCTCATACTTGAGGAGCGATATCTGGATCAGCTCCCCCAGACGCGCGTTGCACAGCGCTCCTCGCACCCAGGACTTGATGACGTTCTGCCTGGAGAACCCCCTCTCGCACTCCACGGTGGAGAGAGGGAGCACAGCCAGCGCCTGCCACAGCAGGATGAGGTTGGGCCATCTCCTGCCAGGCACATGCGACACAACGGAATTAGTTAGCAATCAACAAGATTGTAAAACCCATGGACGCAGAGTAAAGGCTACCTCTTGGAGTCTGCGCTCCCAAGGAAGTTGGACAGGCCCTGGGTGAAGCTCTCCATCTCATGGTGTGCCTCCATCGCATACTCTACATGGATAGAGTCGGCAAGTACACTACCCTGAGCCTAGTTACAAGAATTCAGAGTCCGTTAAGTAGCTACTCTGATAGGATCAGAGTTCACAAAATACAAAACCTGTGTTTGCAGGGACCACCAAGTCATAAGCCTGTAATCACCCTGAAATCAGGGTAATTACCCTGATACGTATCGTCAGCCCTGGCCGTGAGGTCGGGGTGCGACGTGCGAAAGTGGCGGGCGGATTGTCGATGCGAGTGGTAACGGTGCTGACTGAGGTGCTACAGTGATGGACGCGTTTAGCAGGGATGCGAAGTAAGGAAAACGAGATTTTCCTTACAACTCCATAACCCCCTAATTCCACTCTTAACATGTAGGTACACCACACTATTGAGGCTTTGCAAAGTAATGTGCCATTACGTGCCCCGCCCTGCGCCATTCCACTCGACTCCACGCTATGCCACGTACGCGAATCTCCCTGATTTGCGAACCAGTCGCAACCACACACAAGGAACTTTTGAGTCTGCGTTTTTATCGCAGACGTGCCGCAACGGCTTCGTGTCGACCTGTCGCATCGCTGTACGACTTGCTGCGATCGAGCGTCGCCGTTTCTCCGCAGACCCTATGTGACTCTTGACGTGCAGCTTGTGTAGGTTTGTGTGGCACGCGAGGCACTTCTTTGTAAACAGTACGACAACCCGGGCAGAATAATTATGACCCTCGCGAACCCAGATACAGTAGCGCATTTGACTGTCGGGTTTAACAAAAAGAAGCCCACCCTGCCGCTTGTGGACTGATACTCAATTAAGCACGTTAGGTCCCACGGAATCTTAACACGGCAGTGCTGCATTTTTTTTCCTTTATACACCTCAACCACCAGGCGATTGGTTGAGGGCGGAAATGGGGGACCTGGCAGTCGCAACGTGCACCATAGCAGAAAACACTCAAACCCTCATCACCTCCGTGCTCCCCTTGCATGCCTCCAGCTGTGATGATCGCCTGCTCTAGGCCCCAGACTTTGCCTCGTCCCTCACCCTCCTCAACCAATTTTTTATGCTCGTAGACTGCTGTCAGGTTCTAGGCGTTAGCACAACCCGCAACCTCATAGTACTGCGTGAATGGAAAGCTAGACATGGTAACAAGGAAGTCAGACAATGAAGGGGCCCGAGGGGGCGATCGTACTGGCTGAATCAACTAAAACCCCCGACGAAACAAACTTTGGCGAGTTAGTAACAGCAGATAAGACGGCCGAGCTCGTAATCGAGTATCGCAAAAATAATGCGACGACGGCGCGAGATGTTGTTGATTCCAGACGTGTCTCGTCATCCGGTGACGAATCGAATAGCGACTGCGATGTGGAGCCATACGCAAACAAGGGCATATCATCCCCTTCGAAACCAAGGGATAAGCGCGTGAAGCGCTTAGATGATCTCGTTCCCAAAGGCGGCCAGAAAGGTATGTGTTTATGGTCGCAGATGCGGAATATTCTACTTGTATGCATGAATTGATGCTTGTAGTCGTGTCTGACCTGTTGGAGGTTATCGTCTCTCCAATTGTGTTTCCACATCAGCGATAGCGGACAAGCGAGACAACCGGGGGGGCCGTAAGCACCGTCCAAGAAAAAGAGGCACTCGTTCACATCGTGAGGAAACGCCTGCGTCTGAAGGCGACGAGGAGGGCAAAGACGGGGGACCTGACAGCTTAGGTACGCTGTGGGTGTGATATCGACGGTTTATATTTTGCACGTTACTCATAACAATGACGCCGCATGTCATGCTGCAACTCCCTATATATTGTTTATATCTTATGTACCTGTCATGTCCGCCTTCGCAGATGGGACGGCAGGCCAACGCGCTCGTGGTGGCGGAAAGCGCAACGGCGGCAGGGCTGCCGCGGCCAAGGGCGGTCCCTCGGGCAGGCAGTCGCAGGATGCGGATGGAGGCGACGAGGGGGATCATGCCGAGCCGGAAGCTCGTGGTGGCGGAAAGCGCACCGGCGGCAGGGCTGCCGCGACCAAGGGCGGTCCCTCGGACTCGCAGGATGCGGATGGTGGCGACGAGAAGGATCATGCCGAGCCGGAAGCTCGTGGTGGCGGCATACGCAACGGCGGCAGGGCTGCCGCGGCTAAGGGCGGTCCCACGGGCAGGCAGTCGGAGGATGCAGATGGTGGCGACGAGGGGGATCATGCCAAGCCGGAAGCTCGTGGTGGCGGCATGCGCAACGGCGGTAGGGCTGCCGCGGCCAAGGCCGGTCCCTCGGGCTCACAGGATGCGGATGGTGGCGACGATAAGGATCATGCCGAGCCGGAAGCTCGTGGTGGCAGCATGCGCAACGGCGGCAGGGCTGCCGCGGCTAAGGGCGGTCCCTCGGGTAGGCAGACGCAGGATGCGGATGGTGGCGACGAGAAGGATCATGCCGTGCCTGCATGCCGTGGCGTTAACGATCATGATGAGGACGAGCCAGCAGCTGTGAGTGATGGGAAAGGTGGACGTGAAGCTGTGATTCCCTACCAACGGCGCAAGGCTGTGGATCCGGGCAGTTGCGACCATAAGGCGAGACAAGCTCGGCGCGGCCCCAATGTGCACGTTTTGAGCTCGTCTGGTTCCGAGGAAGATTCGAGCGACAGTGAGTCGGGCAGCTCATCCGGGAGTGAGGAGGTATACGAGGACGAGGTTGAGGAGGAGGAGGACGAGGATGATGAGGAGTTGGAGCTGGAGAGCGAGGATGGGGAGGAGGCTCGGCTTTTGCAGAGGAGGAGTGTGCGGAAGCTCAAGAAGGGCAACGCTAAGCAAAAATCGGAGAGGGGACGGGTGAAGATCTGTAAACAGAGTGTGCGTCGTGCCAAACCACAAGGCAAACGCCAGAGGCCTCGATTCGAAGCTAAAATAGTGGGTGTGCGTAGCAAGGCGAAGCGGGAGTTGAATTTTTACGAATCAATGAAGATAAGATGTCCATCAAGCTCTCTTGAACGGCAAGCCGCGGACCCGTACGCTGCGTTACGCTATCCGAGGGGTTCGGCTGGGAAAGGAGATCAGATGGCTTGGGGGTCAGCGCGGTTTGGCAAAGAAGCGACGGACCCGCCCCCCAACCATATGGGGGGTCGCGCGGTTCATGTGAAGAATGAGGGGGCAACGAAGCGGCACGAACCCTCGGTAGCTGCAGCAGCGAATGACGGTGTGGGAGGAGGTGTGTGGGCGAATGCCTTGGGTGAATGTGGCGGCGGTGTGGAAGGCTCCATGTGGGATATACGGGAGAGCAGGGGAGAAGGGGGGGACGAGAAAATGGATCCAGCGACTAAGGAGGGGAGGGGAGAGAGCATGGGCACACCTGGCGCATCCAGTCGGCCGGATGTGGCTGGCGGCAGGACTGTGGAGCAGCTCATGCGAGAGCTTGCCCAGCGGGATCGCGAAATCGCTGCACTCAAGGCAAGGCCAGGATCAAAAGGAGCTGTCAAGCCCTGCACCCCTCCATCTAGGCCTCCTCCTCTAGCATCTCTGTCGAGCGGCCCATCTATAGGGGGCCTCGATCCAGACGTGGCGCCAGAAAGCCCAGCGACGGTAGACGTACCGGTCCGTCGAACGCGTGGGATGCCCACACCCAAGCTGCTGAAGGTGAGATTGTTTTAGTGTTAAACAATGTGTGGCATGGGGCTCAGTGATAGCTGCAGCTCTCTCTCTCTCAACCCCTCTTGCTGCAGGTAAGCGTGTTTGTGGCATTATGCACAGTGATAGCGGCATGTCTGCAGTGGGATAGGCATTCCGAGTACGCCTCGCTTCAGGGACGTGGCGCTGGGCGTACGATGCTCTCACATTCTGCCCGCGACCCAGAGCTCACCAGAGCTCACCATAGCAGAATGTGAGAGCATCGTACGCCCAGCGCCACGTCCCTGAAGCGAGGCGTACTGGGAATGCCTATCCCACTGCAGACTTGCCGCTATCACTGCGCATAATGCCACAAACACGCTTACCAGCAGCAAGAGGGGTTGAGAGAGAGAGAGCTGCAGCTATCACAAAGCCCCATGCCACACATTGTTTAACACTAAAACAATCTCACCTTCAGCAGCTTGGGTGTGGGCATCCCACGCGTTCGACGGACCGCTACGTCTACCGTCGCTGGGCTTTCTGGCGCCACGTCTGGATCGAGGCCCCCTATAGATGGGCCGCTCGACAGAGATGCTAGAGGAGGAGGCCTAGATGGAGGGGTGCAGGGCTTGACAGCTCCTTTTGATCCTGGCCTTGCCTTGAGTGCAGCGATTTCGCGATCCCGCTGGGCAAGCTCTCGCATGAGCTGCTCCACAGTCCTGCCGCCAGCCACATCCGGCCGACTGGATGCGCCAGGTGTGCCCATGCTCTCTCCCCTCCCCTCCTTAGTCGCCGGATCCATTTTTTCGTCCCCCCCTTCTCCCCTGCTCTCCCGTACATCCCACATGGAGCCTTCCACACCGCCGCCACATTCACCCAAGGCATTCGCCCACACACCTCCTCCCACACCGTCATTCGCTGCTGCAGCTACCGAGGGTTCGTGCCGCTTCGTTGCCCCCTCGTTCTTCACATGAACCGCGCGACCCCCCATATGGTTGGGGGGCGGGTCCATCGCTTCTTTGCCAAACCGCGCTGACCCCCAAGCCATCTGATCTCCCTTCCCAGCCGAACCCATCGGATCGCGTAACGCAGCGTACGGGTCCGCGGCTTGCCGTTCATGAGAGCTTGATGGACATCGTATCCCCATTGATTCGTAAAAATTCAACTCCCGCTTCGCCTTGCTATGCACACCCACTATTTTAGCTTCGAATCGAGGTCTCTGGCGCTTGCCATGTGGTTTGGCACGACGCACACTCTGTTTACAGATCTTCACCCGTCCCCTCTCCGATTTTTGCTTAGCGTTGCCCTTCTTGAGCTTCCGCACACTCCTCCTCTTCAAAGGCCGAGCCTCCTCCCCATCCTCGCTCTCCGGCTCCAACTCCTCATCATCCTCGTCCTCCTCCTCCTCAACCTCGTCCTCGTATACCTCCTCACTCCCGGATGAGCTGCCCGACTCACTGTCGCTCGAATCTTCCTCGGAACCAGACGAGCTCGAAACGTGCACATTGGGGCCGTGCCGAGCTTGTCTCGCCTTATGGTCGCAACTGCTCGGATCCACAGCCTTGCGCCGTTGGTAGGGAATCACAGCTTCACGTCCACCTTTCCCATCAGTCACAGCTGCTGGCTCGTCCTCATCATGATCGTTAACGCCACGGCATGCAGGCACGGCATGATCCTTCTCGTCGCCACCATCCGCATCCTGCGACTGCCTACCCGAGGGACCGCCCTTAGCCGCGGCAGCCCTGCCGCCGTTGCGCATGCCTGCCACCACGAGCTTCGGGCTCGGCATGATCCTTCTCGTCGCCACCATCCGCATCCTGTGAGCCCGAGGGACCGGCCTTGGCCGCGGCAGCCCTACCGCCGTTGCGCATGCCGCCACCACAAGCTTCCGGCTTGGCATGATCCCCCTCGTCGCCACCATCTGCATCCTCCGACTGCCTGCCCGTGGGACCGCCCTTAGCCGCGGCAGCCCTGCCGCCGTTGCGCATGCCGCCACCACGAGCTTCCGGCTCGGCATGATCCTTCTCGTCGCCACCATCCGCATCCTGTGAGCCCGAGGGACCGGCCTTGGCCGCGGCAGCCCTACCGCCGTTGCGCATGCTGCCACCACGAGCTTCCGGCTTGGCATGATCCCCCTCGTCGCCACCATCTGCATCCTCCGACTGCCTGCCCGTGGGACCGCCCTTAGCCGCGGCAGCCCTGCCGCCGTTGCGTATGCCGCCACCACGAGCTTCCGGCTCGGCATGATCCTTCTCGTCGCCACCATCCGCATCATGCGAGCCCGAGGGACCGCCCTTGGTCGCGGCAGCCCTGCCACCGGTGCGCTTTCCGCCACCACGAGCTTCCGGCTCGGCATGATCCCCCTCGTCGCCTCCATCTGCATCCTGCGACTGCCTGCCCGAGGGACCGCCCTTGGCCGCGGCAGCCCTGCCGCCGTTGCGCTTTCCGCCACCACGAGCGCGTTGGCCTGCCGTCCCATCTACGAAGGCGGACATGACAGGTACATAAGAAATACTGTGCACACATTATCTTATTGGCAGGAAGTTGCAGCATGACATGCGGCGTCATTGTTATGAGTAACGTGCAAAATATAAACCGTCGATATCACACCCACAGCGTACCTAAGCTGTCAGGTCCCCCGTCTTTGCCCTCCTCGTCGCCTTCAGACGCAGGCGTTTCCTCACGATGTGAACGAGTGCCTCTTTTTCTTGGACGGTGCTTACGCCCCCCCCGGTTGTCACGCTTGTCTGCTATCGCTGATGTGGAAACACAATTGGAGAGACGATAACCTCCAACAGGTCAGACACGACTACAAGCATCAATTCATGCATACAAGTAGAATATTCCGCATCTGCGACCATAAACACATACCTTTCTGGCCGCCTTTGGGAACGAGATCATCTAAGCGCTTCACGCGCTTATCCCTTGGTTTCGAAGGGGATGATATGCCCTTGTTTGCGTATGGCTCCACATCGCAGTCGCTATTCGATTCGTCACCGGATGACGAGACACGTCTGGAATCAACAACATCTCGCGCCGTCGATGCATTATTTTTGCGATACTCGATTACGAGCTCGGCCATCTTATCTGCTGTTACTAACTCCGCAAACTTTGTTTCGTCGGGGGTTTTTGTCGATTCAGCCAGTACGATCGCCCCCTCGGGCCCCTTCATTGTCTGACTTCCTTGTTACCATGTCTAGCTTTCCATTCACGCAGTACTATGAGGTTGCGGGTTGTGCTACCGCCTAGAACCTGACAGCAGTCTACGAGCATAAAAAAATGGTTGAGGAGGGAGAGGGACGAGGCAAAGTCTGGGGCCTAGAGCAGACGATCGTCACAGCTGGAGACATGTAAGGGGAGCACGGAGGTGATGAGGGTTTGAGTGTTTCCAGCTATGGTGCACGTTGCGACTGCCAGGTCCCCCTTTTCCGCCCTCAACCAATCGCCTGGTGGTTGAGGTGTAAAAAGGAAAAAAATGCAGCACTGCCGTGTTAAGATTCCGTGGGACCTAACGTGCTTAATTGAGTATCAGTCCACAAGCGGCAGGGTGGGCTTCTTTTTGTTAAACCCGACAGTCAAATGCGCTACTGTATCTGGGTTTGCGAGGGTCATAATTATTCTGCCCGGGTTGTCGTACTGTTTACAATGAAGTGCCTCGCGTGCCACACAAACCTACACAAGCTGCACGTCAAGAGTCACATAGGGTCTGCGGAGAAACGGCGACGCTCGATCGCAGCAAGTCGTACAGCGATGCGACAGGTCGACACGAAGCCGTTGCGGCACGCCTGCGATAAAAACGCAAACTCAAAAGTTCCTTGTGTGTGGTTGCGACTGGTTCCCAAATCAGGGAGATTCGTGTACGTGGCATAGCGTGGAGTCGAGTGGAATGGCGCAGGGCGGGGCACGTAATGGCACATTAGTTTGCAAAGCCTCAATAGTGTGGTGTACGTAAATGATAAAAATAGAATTAGGGGGTTATGGAGTTGTAAGGAAAATCTCGTTTTCCTTACTTCGCATCCCTGCTCAACGCGTCCATCACTAGTAGCACCTCAGTCAGCACCGTTACCACTCGCATCGACAATCCGCCCCCCACTTTCGCACGTTGCACCCCGACCTCACGGCTCGGCGGTAACCCGCGCTCCGGACCTTCGCCTCGACATTTTCCCAACCTTAGTGCCATGCCCGTCGCGCGACAACCACAGTCCATTACCGTTACCACTGTGGTTTCGCAATATAACCTTTCGCTCATACCTTCGCTCAGTTGTACTTTTTTCCCGATAGTGCAATCCTCGTTCGCTCACTCAATTGCACTCGTAACAGGAGTCCCCCTAACCCATTAGCATAGTGACAAGTATGCAACATAACAGTGTAAAACCAAACACCACCTTCACAGAACATGTACATAACGGTTTGCGGTGGAGCAGTCATTCTCATACATCGATTGATTAGTAAGTACGCATTATTTGATTGCTGCCTGGTCGTTATGCAACGCGTATGGGCATGTCTCCTCTCATGCCAATTGAGGTGCAATAATACGGTAATAGAGCCAGACACAAACTCCCCGTATGGGGCATGGCTGCTCTCATGCCATACAGGGCAACCTTTATGCAGGGACCCAAGACCATGCTGTGTTGTATGTTCTAGGTTCATGCTGGAACGGAGTTGAGAAACCCCTGCTGTTCTACCCACTAGAGTTGTGGCGACATGCAGGTATGTTTTGCAGCATCACACCGACCCATTGTGTATTGTTTGTATACATGTCAAGCAGGAACGCCAGTGACAAACACTTCCCTACGGGTAGTGTTCTCTAGACATGGAGGACTGGTTGTGGCCAACACTCTCATTTGGCCACACTTGTTGTCAAGTCATGCAGGACTGATTCAAGGCCTCTCCATTGCGCTTTGTGTCATGTTTGTTGGCATATCAAGCTGGTAGGACGGATGAACAAACAATTCCGTATTGATCTTGTCCTCATTCCCCCATGCTACCCGCTTCCTTGTTCTTCACTCACACACTTATTCCTCCCATGTACCCGCCTCACTCCCTCCTGCTTCCCGCCTCATTACCTCTGCTTCCCGCCTCATGTCCCCTCGCTTCCGGCCTCATCCCCCCTTGCTACCCACCCCATTCCCCCTTGCTTCCCACCCCATTCTTCACTGTGACCCTCCTCATTCTCCCTTGATACCCTCCCCATTTCCCCTTGCTTCAGGCCTCATTCCCCCTTGCTTCGGGCCTCATACTCACTTGCTACCTCCCTCATTCCCCCTTGCTTCAGAGCCGCGTCCCCCTTGCTTCCTGCCTCATTCTCCCTTGCTACCCCCCTCATTCCCTCTGCTTCCCGCCTCATGTCCCCTCGCTTCCGGCCTCATCCCCCCTTGCTAGCCACCCCATTCCCCCTTGCTTCCCACCCCATTCTTCACTTCTACCCTCCTCATTCTCCCTTGATACCCTCCCCATTCCCCCTTGCTTCAGGCCTCATTCCCCCTTGCTTCGGGCCTCATACTCACTTGCTACCTCCCTCATTCCCCCTTGCTTCAGCTCCTCGTCCCCCTTGCTTCCCGCCTCATTCTCCCTTGCTACCTCCCCTCATTCCCTCTGCTTCCCGCCTCTAGTCCCCTCGCTTTCGGCCTCATTCCCCCCTGCTACCCACCCCATTCCCCCTTGCTTCCCACCCCATTCTTCACTGCTACCCTCCTCATTCTCCCTTTATACCCTCCCCATTCCCCCTTGCTTCAGGCCTCATTCTCCCTTGCTTCAGGCCTCATTCCCCCTTGCTTCGGGCCTCATACTCCCTTGCTACCCCCCTCATTCCCCCTTGCTTCAGGCCCCAATTCCCCTTGCTTCCCGCCTCATTCTCCCTTGCTACCCCCCTCATTCCCCTTTGCTTCCCGCCTCATGTCCCCTCGCTTCCGGCCTCATCCCCCCTTGCTAGCCACCCCATTCCCCCTTGCTTCCCACCCCATTCTTCACTGCTACCCTCCTCATTCTCCCTTGCTACCCTCCCCATTCCCCCTTGCTTCAGGCCTCATTCCCCCTTGCTTCGGGCCTCATACTCACTTGCTACCTCCCTCTTTCCCCCTTGCTTCAGGCCTCATTCCCCCTTGCTTCGGGCCTCATACTCACTTGCTACCTCCCTCATTCCCCCTTGCTTCGGGCCTCATACTCCCTTGCTACCTCCCTCATTCCCCCTTGCTTCAGAGCCGCGTCCCCCTTGCTTCCCGCCTCATTCTCCCTTGCGACCCCCCTCATTCCCTCTGCTTCCCGCCTCATGTCCCCTCGCTTCCGGCCTCATTCCCCCCTGCTACCCACCCCATTTCCCCTTGCTTCCCACCCCATTCTTCACAGCTACCCGCCTCATTCTCCCTTGCTTCAGGCCCCATTCCCCCTTGCTTCGGGCCTCATTCCCCCATGCTTCCCGCCTCATTCTCGCTTGATACCCGCCCCATTACCAGCTTTATCACCGCCGCCTGCCCCACCTCCAACCTCCAACATTGTTTTTGCCCGAAAATACACAGACCACTTCCTCAAATCGTGACGGTACTGACGGCGCCAATGGAGTGGCGTCCCTACAAGCTCACACGCCGGTAGTTTATGGAAAACATCCTCGACCAACGTGTGCATCACACGCATCGTGAACACACCACAGTCGTTCTCATTTGCCTGCACGGGTATCTAGACAATTACAGGGTGCGTGAGCGCGTGGTGAGGGCCGGGATGGGAGTGGGGTTTCGGTGTGGAAATTGCGTGCAGGGAAAGGGAGATGCGATTGTTTCAAAGCTCGTACACACAAGGCAACAGCACTCACCGTGACCTAGCCTTAGTGGGATGCTCGCCGCCCATGCATCTGCGTCCGACTCACTGATCCATGCACAGTATCTTAACACCTCGTCTCGCAAGTACCTACACACCGGGAGACATAGATTCAATGCTATCGTAACCCCGAACTTCTGTACGTGACAATAGCAGACTGCCCTTAAAAAGAGAGTACCTTCGCAACGGGGCATCGACACCGGCATGCGTGCCGTACGAGTCAGCGTGCCAGAGCACGCAGTTCATGGGAATCGGGTCGTCGGGCCTCGGGATGCGCTCGATCACGATCAGGCTCCAGTGACTCCTAAGGCACACATGAGGTCCAACATCAGTAACGCCGATGTTAGACTACCGAAATACATGTGGTGCTACGGCTAGACGCGACGACTACTCACTCGGTATTTATCGGAACGAGTACATATGTGAAATCGAAAATACCCAGGCCGAAAGTATAGGCGTTTTCACGCCGCGAAATGTCCTTCTTAGCATATTCCCAGAAATATGATCCACTGTAAAGCCATTTGTTGCTGTCGCGACCGTGTTCGTACTGCAGCATCCTGCGCACGCGCGTATTTGCGACAAAGGAAACGCATGAGATAACCGTGACGAATCTGGCCTTTTGATTTCCCAACCGTGATACTCACACACCGAGCCAATCAATTACGATCCCGCTGACCCATTCACC